AATCAAACTTTATTTTGCAAAACAAGTTTCTTTTATTGATTTATTTATGTCAAAAAAAGTTAAAAACTGTGTGACATGCTATGGGAAGAAGTTATTTTGAAGATATACTTATGTTCAGAAGTAAAACAAAGGGTCATCTCAATGCTCAGTACAGTCTAATTGTATAGAAACTGTATCTTAATGCTCGGTATAGTCTCCAATTGTATAGAAACAGTTGTGCAGCAGAAAATATTTTACTTGGGACTTAAACTTTTGTATCGAATTTAATTGTTTAATGCCATCTGGGCAACTCGTGACAACTTTGGTATTTGACGAGATGGTGGGAGAAAATGGTGGTTGGTTGTTCCATTTGCCGCTACCTCCCCACAATTGACCAAATGTGTGACGACACTTATCATTTGTACCGTAAAATGCTAATTCGTCAATTTTTGACTAAAAAAATGCATTTTTATGATGATTTCGTGTAGCAGAAAAGGTCATTTATAATGCTGCTATTAAAAAAAATACCATTTTATGATTAAATATGGTTAATTGAAGGTATTTTCTGGTATAAAAACTTTTATTTTGCTAATGTTCATTTCGATCGCATAGCCATCATCCTCCGAGATAAAATTAGAATTATCAAAATAAAATTACATTAATACACATTTTATAAAAAATTAGGTATAAGTTAGTACCAAATATTTTACAAAAAATAAGACCCTGCACGCGCAAGCAAACTAGGTCGTACTTGCAGCTTCTGGGCCGAAAACTTAGGCGATCAAAACAATCCATAGCAAATAAATTTTTGATACCAGACATCTTTAATTAACCATATTTAACTATTAGAAGGTACCTACCTAACCAGCGATCTAATGAAACATTTTATGAACAAATCCTTGCAATGAAAAAGGGGTTATAATTATACTCAAAAAATACAATAGAAGTACAGGAATAAAAATCATACCAACAATAACACAAACCTCTTTTAGTTCCATATTCTGTTCTTTAAGTTTTACCATGTAGTGGATCTTCTGCTTCTGGTTTTGATGACCCAAACTAGCAGCGTACTGGAGAGATAGCTCTCTCATACTTTGCTGTACTTCACCTTTCTCAGCTTCCAGTATCTTGCATTCGGCACGATATGTTTCTAACTGTTCTTTGAAAGGTCCAATTAATGATTCTATCTCTTCATATTTTCTTTTCCACTCCGTACTCTCCAGTTCATAACTAAATGAAAAAAATAAACTTTCATAAAAATTTTGTTTTGTTATAATATTAAAAACAATGACACAGTTAAAGATAAAATTGTTAACGGTCTTTGCCCTCCTTCGCACACGTTGAAATATTATTACAATTAAAGTTATTATGGAGTCATAGGTTTATTAACTACTAATTTAATACTAAAATATCATTGACAACTATTAAATTTTATCTAATTAAATTGCTGATAAAAATTCTCTTTCATACACTTCCAACAATTCTGCACTTTTTCTGATAGTTACATGGTATAAAAATAAGAACTTCCAAGGGATTCTTGAATTCCTGACTAAAGACAAACTTGATTTGCATAAGAAAATAAATGAAATAGAATTTGCATGGGGGGGGGGGGGCAAGAAAATCTCTTATGAAATTAGTAAATATTTAATACATATTCTTAGATTTAACTATTTTTGCAGAGACAAATGGCTATCTCACTTTCGATTCTAAACTTAAACAACAGGCAAAGGACTCACCGATTTAATTTCAAATTGTGTGTTTCAAGTTCATCATTTTCTTTCTTCAATTTTTCAACAGCATCCTGAAGTTTTTTATCTTTTCTCTGCATTTGTAAATTGAGATTGGTAATTTCTGCACAAAGAGTTTGCATTTGACTTTCATTCTTTGCACACAGCTTTTCCTTTTCAGTTAACTTTTCTTGAATTGAAGAAAATTTATTAGTCAGGTCTTCATTAAGTTCCACCATCTTAGCGACAGAAGTCTGAAGTTGACTACATGTTTCTTTAGATGAGGACCTTTCTTCTTCCAGAGCTATCATCTTTTGTTTCACAGATGAAAGTTGTTCTTCAGTCTCTAACTTCTGCTCTTCAAGCACAGTTACTTGTTGTGAAAGTGTATGGACATATTCTTTCTGACATTTAAGTTCTGCTGCTAATTCTTTCAATTGCTCTTCTTTCACAAATCTGTCCCCTTCAAGCAACTTTATCTCTTCAGCTGATTCTTTCAGTTTGCTCTGTTCTTTGAACAACTGAGTTTTTAAATTATCCAGTTGCTCAGTGAATTTTTTACAACTGCTCTTTAGTTCTTCATTTTCTTTATTGAGAACTTCAATTTTTTTTTCCTTTTCTGCATTTGAATCAGCTAGAGTTAACATATGTTCTGTAGCTTGATGGTAAAATTCTTTGTGTCTTTCCAATTCTGAAGTCAATGTTTGAACATGGTGATCCTGATAAGACTTGGTTGCTTCAAGATTAGCAATTTGCTGGGTTGCAACCTTGGCACAATCTCGCTGATGATCCAATTTTTCAGTGAGAGCCTCTATTTCTCTCTCATGCTCGGCATTTGATTCTTCCATTACACTTAGAGCTTCATTCAGTTCAATAATTCTTGCTTCTGAATTCTCAACATCAGCTGATAATTGTTCAATGTGACATTTGTATCTCAGTATTTGTTGTTCTTGAGAAGTTATATTTTCACAAGCAACTGATAATTCACTGATTCGCTGTTTTAATTCAGCAGCCTGTTGTTCATACTTTGTTGTCAGCATTTCAAATGAATCTTTCATTTTCTGATGTTCTTCATGTAAAACATGAAGTTGTTGAGCTTGCTTTTCATTCTCAAGCTCCGTTGTTGCTACATAATTGCTCACCATTTCAAGTTCCCGCCGAAAGTGTTCTAATTGACTTTTTAAATTTTGAATTTGCATGCTTTTTCCTTCTTCATACTTCTCAATTTCATCTGAACCTGACAAAGCCTTTTGTTTAAATAACTCAAGTTTCCCTAACAAATGTTCTCTAACTTCTTCAATTTGTTGCAAGCTTTCTGCCTCAATTTGAGCGTTGTTGGCCTTTTGTTGTTCCAATTCTGATAACAACCTTTCCAAAGTCTGTTCTAACCGTCTTTTCTCTGACTCTAAGGCACATTTAAGAACAGTCATTTCTTCAACGTCCGACTCACTTTCTAGTAAACGAACCCGCAAAGCCTCTAAACTGTCACTAAGATTACGATTTCCAACAGTCAAATTTTTATTCTGAGACTTCAATAAGTCACATTCCTTTACAACTTCAGTTAGCTTCGTATTGGATGAATTTCTTTCCACAGTCAACAAGTCAACTTTGTCTTGGAGTTCTACAATAGTAATTTTATTCTCCACATCAGAAATTTTCAGTTCGTCTCTAATATCCGAAAGCCGCCTCAATTCTTCCTCAGCTCGAAGCAATTTTTCAGTAATGATCCGTGCCTCTGATTCAACTTCCTTAACTCTTTTTGTTGATTCTCTATCTCTTGTTTCCATATCCCTAATGATAGATTCTATCTTTTCCTGTGCAGACAGCTGCTCCACTTTTAACTGATTAGCAGCTGTTTGCAGTTCTCCTTTCAAATGTACAATTTCGTTTTGCCATACTTCTTGAGCTTTGGCAACAGTATGTGCAACTTTGTCTTCTAAAGCCTGCAATTTTTCATTACAAATTGCTTGCATACTTGATGTATGAGTAATAACAAGCTCAGAAGCAGCTTCAATATCATTTACCATATTACTCAATTGTTTATTACAACTACCCAAAATGTTGTCTATTTCCTTTGAATGTTCAGCCTTTAAAAATTCACATTCAGAGAGCAATTTATTATAGTTTGCTTCCAAATCAGCACAAGCAGTTTCTTTTTCAGTTAATTGTTCTTCCAAATTTTCTCTAACAACTGAACCATTCATTAGATTGTCTCGCATGTGACGTAACTGTTTGTCTGTTTCTTCCATTTGCTGCTCCAAATGACCAATGGTGGCCTTGAGTGTTTTAACTTCCTCAGCTCTTTCACATGCTGCTGCAGTTTGACGTTCACATTCTGACCTACACTCCATAAGTTCTACCTCTGCACTAGACAATTCACCTTGAAGCATAAGAATCATCTGCTGTTTTTGAGTAACTTTCAATTCAAAATCATTTTTTAAGCAAGTCAAATTGTCAATTTCTTCCCTCAAATTATTCATTTCCTTAGTGCTAATATCCTTTTTTTCAACAAGTTCATTGACCATCACGTGCATTTCCTCCAAATGAGCAAGAGTTTCTCTATCTAGAGTTTCACATTTTGTTAAGCTTTCATGATGCTTAGCTTGTGCCTCCTCCAGTTTATTTTGTAACACCTCAATTTCCACAGCTAAAGATTCATTTTTATGTTGCAGTTCTTCAATTTGATGCATTTTCATTGAAATATCACCATTTAATAACTCGCACAAGTTCTTTGATTTATTTAATTCATCAACTGTTTCCTTTAGCCTTTGTTTCACACTTTCCAATTCTGAGAAGTCGTGACCTGTATCTTTAACTTTCAATAAATCATCCATAGATGAACTACTCTCTGATCTTTCCTTTCCTTGAGATTTACCTAAGATTTTCATTGCTTTGCGAGGCACCTGCGGCTGTAAAAAGAAAAAACTAAAATTAGCATATAATATTTTACAATTTTACCCAATAAATTAAAATTCTATTATAGAACAAACAGTAAAGCAAATAAAAAAGTACTACACTAAATTAATACATAACTCTAAATAGTGCCACACACAGTCCCAGTGCCAGTCACGATTACAATGATCAAGTCAGTCTTCAGACGTTTTCATGTTCATAAATAATTACTTATCAATAGGGAGCAGATTTTGATGACCTAACATTGCCAAAGTGTAACAATGAAATGCTGTTAAAAAGCTTTAAAGAAGGCCTAAAAACAAATGAAAATGACGCATTTTTTATCGAAACTACTTCAGATGAACAACTCAAGCTGTTGTGCATGTTCCTGATGTGATCGATGCTTCTTACTTTTGTCCACGTGGACTCAGCCTGCGAACTTTGTTTGGACATTTTTTCTAAAAGAAAATCTCTGCCTTTATCACAAAATCGGCCAAACTGAATGGCGCCGATAGGCCGCATTGGAACGTTGAATACATGGTACACGACTGACGTTATCGGCGTGACATTAGCGGAGAAATCAACTAGGCTGCTCAGGAATTCTGTAGTGTTTATTTGTTGCACCACTGTAATTTTGTTTGAAGCAAGCACCATTAAAAAGATTAAAATCTATTAATCCTGCGAAAATGCATTGCAAATAGCGCAAAAAGGTAAAAGAGACTTAATCGAAATTCTCCCTACTTAACAGTATTTTAAAGAGTGTTTTACTATCTTTCAAGCTATTCTTTAAGTAAGTTCTGTGTGTGTATATATAATATAACAGTGTGTGTGTATATTACGAGACGCTCGCACGTGTCATGTTGCGACGTGTTTTTCAATATTTTATGAAATATAACGTCGCTGTAAAGAGGCCTGGAAATGTTCCTTTTTGGGTGGAATGCAGCTCTATGGTTCTGACAGGGACGCGCATCCGCTGACTCACCGAGAAATACCGGCGCCGCTGTCCCCTAACCCAGCAATTCAGCTATACGGAAGAAACCGCGTAACGCGCGCTTGCCACGATGGGGCGGAAGAAACCGCGTAACGCGCGCTTGCCAATCACGTACAAAGAAGCGGGGGAGTGTCACGTGACCTTCGAAGCTGGAGGTAGCTGCGACATGCAAGCTCGGGAATTCAGACAGAGGAAGCGACAGCGAGCAGCAGTGCCATTCCGTGGTAGAGACGAGAGCGAGTTTCTTTCGCTTACGGGGGGACGCCAGTGAATGCATTACCGTAACGCCACCACCCGAATGCATTATCGCCACATCGCGGGCCACCACTCAATTCAAGGACGAACGCCACAGACAATAAGAGCCCGTCCGCGAGCCCAGGACTGACGACGGACCGAGGTGCGACCACCGCTGCCCGGGCCAGCGTTGCTGGCGCCCGTGGACGCCGCCACGCCGCCTTGTTAATAGGCAAAGGAGCGAGACGAAGCCACCACCGACCGCACCGCGCTAAGCACCAGTGCGAAGGGTCACCGCTCCCGTAACTGGGATCGCGACCGCTAGAAGGACGCCGCCCTGCTTCCAACAATGACCTCTGGCCCGTAGGGCCGAATGAGATAACTTAAGTTGTGAAGAATAATTATAACGGGAGGCTTCACCTCATGCAAAGGGAACATTAAATCCACCTATGATAATACCACGGGTTTCAATGCAGTGATTGAATGAAAGTAAGCCCCATCACGCATACCTCCCTTTAAAGAGGCTATGGACTGAGCAGTCGGGGCAACGCTGGATAGCCACACGTGTGTGTGCATGTGTGAATCTGAATTCTCCTACGACCTACGTCTTGAGACAAGCGATCAAAGTTCGAATTCTTCGTTAATAACTGAAGTTGTTTTCTTTTACTATGCGCCTGCCACGATTAAAACTCATAGCACAAGGACAAACAAAAATAGGACTTGCCGACGCATTTATTTCATGGCGTCTCCACACCAACCGCATTAAGTTCACAGAAATGCCGTTTTATGACCCTCCCCCCCTGCCGGACAGGAAAAACGTCGCGTTTCCGCGTTAGATTCCATTTCATGCCATTTAAAATGCCGTTTAACTTCATTGGCCGGAGAAATTTTCCGATCAAAGCAGGTTTCCGGCTTTTACAGATCCAGGTTTAAACAGATTTGACTGCATAAATAAAATAGAAATATATTATAAATTTAATTATATATTATTTATATGAAATAGAATTTTCGTATCGTATAGAAATATTTCACTGAACATCTAAGGTATTAATGGCGATTCCGATGAGTTTGTGGATTGCAGGGATCGATATAAATAAATATCGATTAAATATTAATGTTTGATTACTGGGATAATTTCAAGAGAAAGGGATTTGACTGTGGCAGTACTGTTCTTTACTGTCCACTAACACCATTTACATATAATACAAAAACATTAGATATTTCAAAAACCTTCTTTTCTTCAATAGAAGAAATATGAAAGTTCTTTTTTCGACATTAACAATTTTCAGAGCATGAAACTGAAAACAAAGGTAATAACGAATCCCTCTCAAGCTCTTTCTAAGTAGAAATCAAGATAACACCCGTTTTTTACTAGGCTGTCCGGGTGACGCCGCGTCCATGGCGAAGGTGCCGACGTTTCGGTCGCCATTCTGCAAGGAATGATTCTGTTGAGGAAAGTCTCTGATGATCAAGCAATTTTATTCCATATTTGCACTGCCACTGTACGAACTACTTTTTACAGATTAAGGAACACTAATAGGAACTACGTTGACATTGCTGAAGTTTCAAGGCACTTCAGAGCCAGAAATCAAAGTGAAAAAATATATGGTTGAAGATTGAGAATTCCTATTAAACAAAGATTTGTGGCATCACACAAATAATTCTGTTCAACCAGTGAAAGGTCTGCCAACATTGTGCAGGAGTCGAGTGGTCAGAATGTTTCAGTTGTAATCAAAGAGTATCAGAAAAATACAGCGAGTCAATTGCATTGGCGGAGATGATTCTGCAGGATAGACAGATCACTATTGATTAGAAATCGAATGTGTAGGAAAATGCCTGATCATTTTCAATCTAATCACAAATTTTCAACGTAACGAATCTCCATTGTTTGTCTCGACTGCAGCTGTCACTTGGGTTTGCAGGTCATTGAATTTTTGGAACCTCATTGTGGCTTCATATTTTTTTCGCATTTCTTTGCACAAATAAAATAAAGCTAATAATAAAATATAGCACATACTTCTTCGCCCCTCAGTAACGATTATGTAATATGCCGCATTTCTGTCTATATCAAGACATCTCAATGAGCTCTGATAAAGCTTGCATGCAGCGAATGGGCGCTGCCAACAATTGGCACATTTTCTTATTAATTCTTGGCAAAAGAGCAATTTTTGCCACCACGTATCAGTTTGCATCGTGGTTTTCTGAAAGTTATTCTAAGGCGTCCTTTATGGAACACTATTGGCTGGTTTCGAATACATACAGTTATTTTTTCCATGTCTCCAAGATTTTTAAGTTCATTCTTAAATGTTATTTTATTTTAAATGAAGACTACGACATTCCGAGTGTATCTCGTAGGGAGTGGCTGAGATCTTAATGCCGCAATGATTTCGAATCAATCACAACGCAAAATTTCCAGAGCAGGGAGATTTAAGAGATTCCAGAAGCTTCGAGTAAAGAAAAGACGGGAGAAACGCCAGTCGATCTGGGACTACCATTGAGGTCCGGCGCACTCTACTATATACAATATTTGACGGACCTTGATCTATGTCACATAATACTAGTAAATTAAAAACGTTTCTCGTTCTTTGTGGCATCAATGTGAGACATTCTCCTGTATTTTTCCTTTCTAGGTCAAAATCATGAACACCTCTTTTCACCGTTTTCCAAAGAGATTAACACAGAGAAATTCGTAAATAAAGAAGAGAAAAATGCCATCGCATGCTCTCTCAAAACATAAGAGGAAATTTCTATCCCTCGCATGAATAGAAGCGAGTGCGTCTTTTACTCACCAAACCCTGGCTTCAGTGTGAACGGAACAGCGTATTCCGCCGCCGCGTGTTTTTCGTGGACACAATCTTTAGGAAAGATTTACTTCTCGATTTCAAGCGGGGGCACTTTTTACCATTCTATCCCGATAGAACCTTTGTAATACTCTTTTTACATCAGAGAAATAGCCCTTTGAGTTAATACACTAGGTAGAATAAAACCATAGATACAAAAGTTTCATATTTCACCGGTCAAATGATATACACGATTTATAGGGCGGCATTGTTTTGTCCGTCCTTCCGTCTGTTGGTGGTCAACGCTAGGTAGCGCTTAAACTGTTCATACGGTTTTTCCTGAGAGTTGATATACTCGCACCGAACTGAAGAAATTAGACTACAAATTGTAAACTGTCATGAATTTGTGCAAGGCTTTCACGAATACTAGATATTTTCGAAATTTTCTCAAAAAAGGCTTCAATTTTTTGCCGAGAGACGCCAAAGTCAGACAGACCTTTTGTCGAGGCGAAGAAGTGTCATTCAGAACTCGCATTGAAGGCATCTTTGTAGAAGCTTAAACTCATTGTTTTGTAATACTAGGCACTGACCTCATCTGAAAATGTTTATTAACACTGCCATAATCTTACTTACGTGTTAAGAGTTCACACAGAAAAATGCGAATTGAATTTGATTTCAACCATGAAGAAAAGTATCTTTTTAAAAGAATGCTTTGATTTTTTAGAAGTAAAACACAAAACGATGCATAGTAGCTCAGTCATGTAATTCAGTGACACCTAGGAATTAATATTCAAGTACGAAAGAATTTTCTTTAAAAAAATCTCACTGGACAAAGAAAACAGTGTCTAATTTTATTTTTGGATCATGAGAGCAGAAGGCGGCAGACGATGAGCGAAGACAGAAAAACACACACTGTCAGTTTCTTTATTACTCGTATCAGGTGATACGAGTGTCCAAGACCAGCGGTGCGCGTTTATGCATCGTTGACCCTGCCCAACACATTTACGGTATG